GATGGAGGTGCTCAAGACATCTCAGGAGATCGTCTACAGGGGATATCTCATCAAATCGCCGCCTAACAGATCTGGCGAGCGGTCGGTGTTGAGTATTTAGCGAATTCACATATCGCAATTTGTGTCTTTTATCCACGAAGCTTTCCCAGAACTGAGGCCTGCTCATTGTTTACGTTCGCCTGGATTATCCTTAAGATACTTCCCCCTTAATCCGCTAGAGATGCCAACTCCAGATTCTGGAGTGTTATTTGACGTTTAAAATTCCGAGGAAAACTCGAGCGTTCATTCCACGGCGATAAACTTGGTTCTCTCCGCCCGAAAAATATCTCGGCCTAACCTAATTCTAAGAGAATTCGAAAGAATTCGCTCGCAAATGATTTTTGACTTTTTTGGGGAACTTGCACTTTCGATGGGGGGAAAATATAATTGTGATGAATGATGTTTATTGGAACTTTTCTTGGCAAGTATATTGCAGTTTCGGTCAAAAATAATAGTTTTAACTCTGTATTTTTTTCCCACCAGCGATGGAGAAAGCGATGGTTTGCCCTTCGTCACAGTGGCGAGCTGCCTGGTCAATATTTTTTGGAATATTATACAGATAGGCGCTGTCGTAAACTCAAGGGACGCATTGATTTGGATCAATGTGAACAGGTATTTGTAACATTATCTTTATAAAGTTATCTTTATATTACTAATTGGATAATAATGCTTATAGGTGGATGCAGGTCTTAGATTTGAAAATCGCAAACAGAAGTATCAATATATGTTTAATGTCAAGACACCTAAACGAATCTATTATTTAGTCGCTGAGAATGAAACTGATATGAACAAATGGGTGGATGCGGTTTGTCAAGTTTGTGGTCTGAAGGCATATACTCAGGACGACGAACAACAAAGTAATGGAATTTATGTCTCATTATTCTTTTGCATATATGTTTTTATATTAAATTTTTGTGAATTTATATCACAAGACAGGATTCTCATTTTTTTTAGAACTTTTCTATAATATAAAAAATATTTGAATAGAATACAAATTTAATTTTTACACATTAGCATGCAATTTTTGTTTTAGTATTTCAATATGAGTCTCAAGAATCCCCACCAACTTCACCCACTAGCACAATCTCCGGTCCCTACATTCCTATTAGCGAATGCATTTCTGGTCGTCGACTCAATGATACCAGCTCCTTGAGTTCTGCCCTTGGACAGGGACCCGAGCACTACGATGCCCCGAGAAAATTGGCACCTTCACCACCACGATCACCTACAACGACAGATGCCGAGAGTGTCTTCACAGATGATGAATGGGCGCCTGTAATGTCCATACATTGGGACACACTTCCAACAGGTGAACATGGCAATTTTTATAATATTTGATTCGTTTCTTTTATCTTTTTTAACGGAATAAAATCGTAACAGGTGATTCACGGCAACCTCACGGTTCAGGTGATCAGGAGATTGGCTCGTGGAGTGTGAGAAAACGCTTCGGTAAACTTCGGATCGTCGATTCCGCATTGCCACCAGCCATGGAGAAGTTACCAGCACCGCCAAGGCCACCGAAACCACCCCATATGTTACCTGAAAATCCTGGTCATAACTATTTGAACTTAGATGGTGCCACCGAGAGTTCGAAACCGAGTACCCCGGCGACACCGGCGCCGACGACGCCTGCTGCTGCCGCCGCGACGATAGCGACGAGTGTCGTGACCGATGAATCGTATGATTTTCCTAGATCTCATCAACCGCAAGCAACGCAAACGACTGTCGAGAGCAGCGCGGCAGCGGTCGATCAATCGTCGAAGCACTTTTACTCAAACGCCGCGCCGAGCACTATCAGTGACGAAACGCAGAATGTCTTTCGCTATGATTTCCACGAGGACGAACCGCCAAGTCCGCGTTCTGAAAACTCGACCACGGCGACGTACTCGAATCTACCTAGCCCTCTCGTGCGAGATGGTTGTACAAGCGTACCGACCACCATGGCACCGCCTCCACCGATAGTATATAGAGAGCTGAAACCTGGTAGGAAAACTAGCGATTCAATGTCTATCATAAGCAACGAACCATCACCAGGTCCAACGATAGTAACGATGTACGATGTGAGCTCTGCCGAACACTCTCCGGCTGAACCGCCCAGCATCAATAGGAAACTAAAGCCGCCATTGAATAAATCGCCAGTGGAAGGTAGATTTTTTCTTCTTCTTCTCCTTTTTTATACGATGCTAGTAAAAATAATAATATCTTAGAAAAGATGGACTAAGGCGATCCTTAATGTTATCTAGATCTGAAATTATGTAATACTAAGCATGTAAGAGATACATTTGAGATATGATAATAAATTTTTTGCAGCACCTCATTTACAACTTGCATCTCCTCCCGGAAGAGGAAGAATGCGGGCGGCGCCCAGTCCAACGCCTCCATCACATATGCACTCAACACGTCATCAATCGACATCGGACGAAGACAATAACGCATTCGAGGATAAAGAAGAGGTTCGTAGGATGGTTCCAAGAATCGCGCGTAATCTTACCATTGCGCATGACGCATGTCGGTACGATGTATGATTTCACATATTATGTGTAATTCGATTTCCAGATATACTATTACCAAGACCACAATACGTTTATTCCGGCGTCCAATCGCTTGGTGGTGCTGCAATATCTGGATCTTGATTTGAAAACGACAGAGAGCTTTAATTCTTCGACATTACCGCCCGCGCCATCTCTTCCGAGTACGACAGTGTACAAAACCGTGGATTTCGTCAAAACGGAGGCTTTCAATCGCACTCGACAGCGAGTAGAGGAAGAGAGAAAATTATGCACGGACGAATTAACGTAGAGAGCGAATTGTATTATACGAATCAGACGGATGTTAAATAGATTAAATTCGTAATGTGTGTGGACTTTTACTATGTTACGTAAGGACTTTCCTTATTTTAAGTATCAATATGTTAGAACACAATATTGTGAAAAAGTAATAGAACGAAAGATGATATTTACACAAAGGACGCAGTATTTACACAAAGATAACATCCATCACTTTTACGAAGTATCAATTTATTCTTTAACATAACGATGATTTGTTTCATAAATTGGCTATGTAATTAAAAGAGGCAATTGAATATTGAAGTATTGTACAGCAATATAAAATGGACCAAAAATATAATATAAAGGGAAGTGAATGATAGAATGACAAGTGCAAGTGCACTCTTGTTAGGAAATCATTTTGAAAAGGAATTTCTCGGTTAAATCAAGTTGAAGTATTATTTAAGTTGTCAAACTTCTCTTATCTTTGGGTACAATTGTAGTTTTATATACATAGTTTTATGTAGGAACAACGTGCGGGGCATTCTTATTCTCAACTATATGTGCAACGAATAACTAAATTTGTAGTATTGTTCGTTTAAGGATGTCCTATTTTTAGCATTAGATATAAAATGATACAGAATATTTTTTTATCATGTCGCAACGAAATCCGTTTTATCAAGATAATTAGATGCAGTACTCATTGCAAAGATAATTCGTTACATGTATATTAACATGATTGTTATATTAACATGATCGAAAATAATACTGTATTTTAATACATATTATAAGTGGCTTTTAAACGATCAATGCTATACAATCATATTGTACGATATTGATCATTTAGGAACTGCTTTATATAGATTCTTTTATTAATCTAATTTATATATGATACATATAAATACGTATTTATATGTAGATTATATTGTTGCATTGATTAAGAGCATAAAACTGCAAAAAAACTGAGAAAAATTGTATTAAAATTACATCATTATTTTACAGTATCATTATTTTAATTATATATATTATTTTATCATGGAACATGTATAATTGAATTCCGATTATTATTTTATCATTTTATCATAATCATTGAAAATATTGAACCATTTTCTGTTACAGAAATATCGTCGTTGAAAGAACGAACTATATAAATATTTTATATAGTTAATCTTTCATCATAATTATAATTGTAAATGTAGAAATTATGAATATATATGCATATATACCTATTACAATTTTGCTTTTTATTTCAAATAATATTTCAAGTTAATCTATATGCTTGTACGAATTTATCTCTTTTCTTATACAAGAGATAATTTCAAAATGATTTAATTTTATAAATAAGATTCAGTATAAATTATAAAAGTTTATAAATTATCATTATGATCACATTTCGAGAAAATTAATCTTTATTGAATAAAAATTCTAACACTCGCGATTTTAATGAAGATAAAACTCAATTATCGTTCAATTAGGCATAACATTCCTATATATCATAAAAATTCAGTTTTAAACTTTGCTATCCAAAGAAAATTCTTAAAGAACATTAAGACGTCAAAAAGACGTTCTAAAATTTTTCAACCATCCTAAAAAGATATATATATATATATATATATATATATATATATAATAAATAATATAATATATATATATATATATATATATAATTAAAAAGATATTAATATTATAAAGATATTAATATTAATATATTATTAAAAAGATATCTTCTATCTCTTTTTAAAGATATCTTTTATTTTTATTTAAATATTTATTAAGATATTTATATATTATTAAAAAAAGATATCTTCGTAGGTATTTCCAGTGGTTTTGACTTCATTCACATCTGAATTATTAATCGTGCACAGTTTATCATCCGCGCCGGATTTATCTTTCGGGATAGTTTATCATCTCCAAGCCGGCCTATTATCCGCGCCGATTTATCATCCGTGCGTACGCGTTAAATTTAGCTTGGTTTTAACTCAGGTTTTAACAGATGTCGCGATATTCGCGGTAATCGGGGATATGGACGGGACGTTTCGATAGAAGACGAGCACGGGCGAATAACGTCGTTCGTCCAGAGGTGGTGCGAGAGTACGATGACCCGCTTGTGTTCGTATGTTACGACGCGCTGCCTCGCCGCGGTTGCGTCGTAGTAGTACGTCAAGGCAGATATTCCCTTTATCGCGCGTAGAAAGCGCGGCCGGGAAGAAGAAGGGAGAGGAGCGCGTAGACGCGGGACGGCGAGCCAGTGCGCAGGCGCCTATTTTGCTCGGTGGGCAAGAGGCAGGCGGTGGCAGACGCACGTTTCACGGGGCATGGCGCGGTGCGCGTTCTAGTAAACAAGTTGTGTGCGAGTCGCGCGGGGAATCTTGCGCCCCGACCGAGTAGCCGCGCGATATTTATTTAACGACGCGATCATCCTGTCGCGTGCCACGACGCTGCGCGACGCCGTCGATCTCCTTCCGTCGTTTCCGCTCGCCCCGGAAGAGCGACCGAGGCATAAATAAAACGGATTAAACGTACGGACAGCCGCACGAGTCGACTCCGATTCTCGCGGAGCGATATTTTCGCGAGAGTGTTATGCGTGCGCGGCTGTGAGTGGTGTTGGTGTTTCTTTTTTTTTTTTTGTCGTGAGTAGAAAAGTGATCGCGCGCCACGGTGTTTGCCACTGGCCACCGAGTCTTGAATGCCAGGGAGGCAACCCTCGATTGTGTGTCTCGACGACAGAAGCTGAGTGATATGACACCTCGATACGCGCCTCGAGGCCTCCGATTAGACGCCGCATTTCGGTAAGACGTCCTCCTTTTGACTTACTCTCCGTTTCGTCCTCGCTTCTCCGCCGCATTCGCGGGGCGCTCGTCTCATTATTATTATATGACGTACTCGCGGTACGCGGCAATTCGGCTATTATCACACGGAATGCCATTCGCGACGTCGACGGAGCCATTCGCGACGTCGATTCCTGCTCCTGAAATGATACTCGCCCCGTAAGGCACATCCGGCGAACGTGTTTTCGTTCGTTTCTCCGACTTTCGCCGAGGCGACCTTTTTCTTGTCCTCCGTCCGCCTACCTATTTATCAACCTATCTTTTTCTCTCTCTCTCTCTCTCTCTTTCTCTCTCCTTCTCCTCCTCCCTCTCTCTACTCGAAAGCAGCTCCGAATTGCGTTCCTTTCCTCGCCGCCGCTGTCCTCAATCGAGAAAGAACGCGATCGTTTGGCGGCGACGGGGCGGGGAAGGAACGAAAGGAAGATGCGGGGAAAAAAGTGCGCGTGACCAACAGGCAAAATTTTTTCGGCGGAACGCGTCGCCTCTGGGCGTTGTTCCTGCCGATGACGTTGGGATTCGCGAAGGAGTCCTTTTCCACGAAACACGGATGCTTTCACTGGTGCGGCGCGGCGCGGCGCGGCGTGGCGCGACACGGGTATCAATGGCCTCCCAGACCGCCGTGAAAATTGCTCATTTGCTCGGTGAGAAAGGAGGAAGAGAGCAGAGGTGAGGGGGAACGGGGACAGAAGATGCCGAGCCGTGGACCCGGAGCGGAAAGAGAGGAAGCGAGTGATCGCGTTCCATGTACAATGTGTGGCGATTTTTTCGTGGAACGACTATAAGACAGGGAGG